GTTCTATAAGTTTTTGGTTCTTCCTTTTGGGCTGTGCTCGGCTCCTATTGTATTCACGAAAATTATGAGGCCCATCTTGTATAAGTGGAGGATGCAAGGCATCAATGTTGCCGTTTGTCTGGGCGACGATGGGTCAATTCCGCACGTGGTTGCGAAGAATCGATTGAGTCGGTTAGGGCAGATTTGAAAGATGCCGGCTTTCTTTTGGCCGAAGAGAAGTGTTCCTGGAGCCCTCTCCAGAAGCTCATATGGTTAGGCCATGAGATCGATTTGAAAGAGTTCACACTGAATGTGACCAAGAGTAGGGAAGTAAAAGCGCGCAATATAGCTCATAGTTTGCTTCTTAAGAGGGGTCCCTCCTTGATGGATAGATTGAGATGGCAAGGTACGGATTGCTTCGATGTTCCTCGTTATCCCTCCAGAAGGAGGCGTCAGTGGAGAGCGATCGCGTCAGCCATCGCCGAGAAAGAAAGGATAGGTAGCGCGTTATCGTTCAGGTGGCCCCTCTCTCAGGAAGAGAAAGGCGAGTTGAGGGATTGGTTGGCTTGGATCGGGAGTTTCAGAGGAGTTTCTATGATAATACGATGCAGTTGAGAAGCGCGTTTTTAGCTTTTTCAGACGCATCTGAGTTTGGAGCAGGCTCCATTTTATGTCTTGATCATAATGCCTGAATCGTTTGTGCCTGGATATCTAGTGGGAGAGTCGAGCACAGCCGAGAGAGCTATTCGCGGTGCTTCAAGGGTTGGCTTTCAGACTTCATTTGGAAGGGGAGGAAGTCGCCTGGCATTGCGATAATCAAGCGGCAATAGCCATATTAGAAAAAGGAAGCACAAAACCGGAGCTTCAAAAGTTAGCGCAACAGATTTGGTCCCTCTGTGATCGTATTTCATTGAAAGCGCAATTTTTCTGGGTGGCCAGATCATTTAATACGGCAGCGGACGAGGCATCCCGGTTATTAGATTTAGATGACTGGTGCGTGAGAGACGAAATTTTTCGAGGAATTACAGCAAGCTTGGGGAGTCTGTACATTAGACATGTTTGCTAGCGATCAGAGTGCTAAGTGTAAGAAATTCAGGCACTATTGAACTATTCCTACCCCAAAAAAAACTCAAAAATTTTTTCGCTGAAACATTGCCTATAGATGTAATTCGATGCGCTGATCACGAATATCACATCCGTTTCGAGCGCTGGCGTCATTTGGCGCCATTATGCGCCAATTTGGCGCCCACCACTTTTTTCACCAAAGTTGATGAAAACTTGCATATGGGGGAGGTCCTGATTACGAA